GTGGAATTGCCATCATCTCATACAAGACTTTTCTTGGTCTCACAGACAGAAAGACTGATAAACGTCCTGTAAAAATTACCTACTGTCAGTGACATAGCTCACGTCTAATTTTATTTTATTAGTCAAAGAAAATCATGTAGCCACACAGAATTCTAAGTGGGCAGGGTTGTTGTTGTTATGATATGCCGTGGAGTCAGTTCTGACTCATAGCGACCCTGTACAGGGTTTCCGAGGCTGTAAATCTTTATGGGAGCAGAACGCCTCATCTTTCTCCCGCAGAACAGCTGGTAGTTTCGAACTGCTGACCTTGCGGTTCGCAGCCCAATTCGTAACCACTACGCTAAAAATACAGTCCTACCATGCGTCATGAAGGAAGAGACTGAAAATATTTGGTGTACTGCACTAATGACAACCACAATTGGAAAATTTCCAAACAGCACAAGAGGTTTCAGACCCTAGATATTAAAAAATGAAAAGACAAGTGTACACAAAACATTTCTTCCTAATGTACTTTCTATATATTGTTATACCCAGCCAGTGCACTAGCTACATGTTGTTGCTAAGTACCATAGAGTCGATTCCAACTCACAGCAACCATCTGCACAACAGAACCAAACACTGCCTAGCCCTGTGCCGTCCTCACAATTGTTACATTTGAGTCAATTGCTGCTGCCACTGTCTCAATCCATCACGTTGAGGGTCTTCCTCTTTTTTGCTGACACTTCACCCCACTAAGCATGATGTTCCTCTCTATGGATCGGTCCCTCCTGATAATATGTAAGAAGTATGGGAGGGAGAGTCTCACCATCCTGGCTTCCAAGGAGCCCTCTGGCTGTACCTCTTCCAACACAGATTTGTTTATCTTTCTGGCAGCGCATGGTACTTTTAGTATTCTTCTCCAACACCACAATTCAAATGCATTGACTCTTTTATGGTCTTCCCCACTCACTGTCTAAGTTCCACATGCATATAGAGATGACTGAAAACACTGTGGCTAAGGAAAGGTGTATCTTAACCCTCAAAGTATCATCTTTTGCAGGAGGTTTGCCCAATGCAATACGTCATTTCATTTCCTGACTACTACTTTCACAAGTGCTGATTGTGGATCACCCCAAAAATGAAATCTTTGACAAATTCAATCTTTTTTCCATGTATCATGATGCTATTGGTCCAGTTGTGAGAATTTTTTATTACTTTACATTGAGGTGTAATCCATACTGAAGACTATAGTCTTTGATCTTTATCAGTAAGTATTTTAAGTACATTTAGCTTCCTGCATATAGAAGGTTGTTACTGAGTTTCTCTCCAATTCTGGTACCACGTTCTTCTTCATATAATCTAGCATCTCAGATTACTTGCTTAGCATACAGATTGAATAAATATGGTGAAAGAATGCAACCCTGGCACACACCTTTCCTTATTTGAAACCATTCAGTGTCCCCTTGTTCTATTCCTTATTTGAAACCATTCAGTGTCCCCTTGTTCTATTCCTCTTGATCTATGCACAGGTTGCTCATGAGCACATTTAAGTGTTCTAGAATAGCCATTCTTCACAATGTTGTCCATAGCTTGTCATGATCCACACAGTTGAAAGCCTCTGCATAGTCAATAAAGCACAAGCAAACATTTTTCTGGAACTCTGGTGTGGTGCGTCAGGATAAGCACTGGACTACTAACCACACATTGGCAATTCAAATCCATCAGCTACTCCTCAAAACCTTATACAGAATTACTATGACTAGAAACCAACTTGACAGCACTTAACAACAACAAACATCTTCCTGATATTCTCTACTTTCAGCCATCTGACATCAATAATGCTATTCCTAGTTCCATGTCCACTTCTGAATCTGGCACCAAATAAATGTCTGTTAAGTAAATGAATGAAAATGAAATAGTCTAATTTGCCAAATTTCACCATAACCGAAGGCAACCTAATAAGACTAAGACAAGTGATTTACTAAGAGAAATTGTCTTCAGCAGTCCAAGAGATCTCCAAGGTATGTTTAAACACATTTTGTTTGGAATAAACCCATGCTAAAAATGAATGATGTAATGCAACAAAATACAATAGGATGAGTGCAAAACTGATGTTCTCCCATGTAAACTATCACTGAATTCACAATAAAACCTTTAAAAAAGTTAATGATGTAGAGATCATAAAAATAAATTCCTTGAACAATATTATTAATAGAACATGCAAGTAAAATTTTGCTGAAGATAATTTAAAAATGGCTGCAATAATACATTGACAGGGAACTTCTCAAAATTCAAGCCAGAAGAATATTCAGAACAAGGGATATCATTGTCAGATCGATCTTAATTGAAAGCAAAGAATACAAGAAAGATGTTTACCTGTGCTTTATTTACTATGCAAAGGCTTAGGAAGACTGTGCGGATCATGAAAGCTATGACTAACATTATTAAGACTGGGTATTCCAGGACACTTACTTGTGCTCATGAGCAACCTGTGCATAGACTAAGAAGCAGTCGTTCAAACAGAACAAGGGGGCACCAAATGGTTTCAAATCAGGAAAGGTGTGTGCCAGAATTGCATTGTTTCATCATACTTATTCAGTTTGTATACTGAGCAAATAACCCAAGAAACTGGATTATATTAAAAATTATGTGAAATCTGGATTGGAGGAAAAATCATTAATGGCCTGTGATATGCAGATGATACAACCTTGCTTGCTGAAAGTGAAGAGGACTTAAAATACTTACTGAAGATCAAAAACCAACGTCCGTCTTCAGTGTACATTGCACTTCAATGCAAGAAAACAAAAATCCTCGCAACTGGACCAATAAATAACATCATGATAAATGGAGAAAAGATTAAATTTGTCTGAGACTTCATTTTATTTGGGTCCACAATCAATACTCATGCAAACAGAAGTCAAGAAATTAACTGATGCATTACCATAGGCAAATCTGCTGCGCAAGACCTCATTAAAGTGTTCAAGAACAAAGACATCAGCTTGAAGATTAAGGTGTTCCTGCCCCAAGCCATGGTATTTTCAATAGCCTCATATGCATGTGAAAGTTGGACAATGAATACAGAAGACTGTAAAACAACTGATGCATTTGAGTTATGGTGTTGGAGAACAATATTGAAATAAACTATGTTGTTGTTGTTGTTAAGTGCCGTCGGGTCAGTTCAGACCCATAGCGACCCTGTACAGGGTTTCCGAGGCTGTAAATCTTTACGGGAGCAGAACGCCTCATCTTTCTCCCGCGGAACAGCTGGTAGTTTCGAACTGCTGGCCTTAAGGTTCGCAGCCCGATATGGAAGGCCAGAAAAACAAACAAATCTGTGTTGGAAGAAGTACAATTAGAATGTTTCTAAGAAGCAAGACAGTGAGACTTCGTTTCTCATACTTTGGGCTTGTTATCAGGAGGGATCTGTCCCTGGAGAAGGACATCATACTTAGTTAAGTGGAGGGTCAGCGAAAAAGAGGAAGACACCCAACGAGATAGATGGATACAATGGCATTACCAATAGACTCAAGCATAGCAACAATCGTGAGGACGGCACAGGACCAGGCAGTGTTTGCTTCTGTTATACATAGAGTCGCTATGAATCAGACCTGCCTGAATGGCACCTAAGAACAACAACATCAACAGTATGAACTAGAATCCTAGTAGCAATACTTTTGACACATGGTGGTGGTGGTTGTGTCCCCCGGAGTTGATTCCAACTCAGAGACACCCTGTATAGGGTTTCTGAGCCTGTGAATCTTTGAGCACAAAGCCTCATTTTTCTCCTGCGGAGCATCTGGTAGTTTCAAATTGCAGCCCAACTCATAACCACTATGCTACCATATATGATGCTTCCTGTGTCCTTTGTATGCTGTGTTTCAATATGAAAATTGGATAGGGCAGAGTAAGTATTAAGTACAGTAAGAGAGAAAAAAAGATGCTTTATCTTAATATTGCTTTGAATGTATTCATCTGTTGGTTTCCTTACACTAGACCCATCACAGGGACACTTTTTTGCTGTGCCTAATACAATATTATGGCAAACATCCACGAATGTGATTACTGTTAATAAACCCCCAAGGAGCTCTGGTAGCGTAGTGATTACAAATCAGGCTGCGAACCTCAGGGTCAGTAGTTTGAAACGGCCAGCTGTTCCGCTGGAGAAAGATGAGGCTTTCTACTCCTGTAAAGAATTACAGCCTCGGAAACCCTGTACAGGGTCGCTATGAGTCGGAACCGACTGCACGGCACATAACAACAACAACAATACAATTTGAGACTGGGTGGGTGCTCAGTAATTTTGCTACCTAGACATAAAATTTGTAATCTTAGGCAAGTCACATCAGTTTTGCTATAGGATTTTTGACTGCTTGTGCTGACCTGTGACTTTGAGTAGTATCTACCTTTTGTATAATAAGGATCTCTTGTGCTGTTGTTGAGTGCCATTTAGTTGGTTCTGACCCATAGCAACCCTGTGTATAGTTTCTAAGGAGCAACTGGTGAGTTTGAACGGCAGACCTTGGGTAATAAATTGTGCAATTGTGCTTGTCACGTGATACACTTAGAGCACAGTCTGCTGTAAAGTGTCCACTCAACAGATGTTTTCATAACAGCAACCCTTAATTAACTCTCTAATTAATATGGAATTCGAATGGAAATTGAAGAAAGCATGTAATGCTTCTACAAAAGTTGGTCCAGGGACTTGGGAGTGAGAATTTTGGGGAACGTGGCACCTATTAAATCAACAATAATAATCAATGGTATTCGACTTCATCTCCTGTTGATCACTACTGCACAACTGCCAATAGACTCCCCAAACTCGCATTCCTGCCTTCGCTAATCTCGGCCCCTCCCACTAGCCATCAGCCAACTGCTGCCAAGCCCCGCCTCTCAGTGACAGCCCTCCAATCAGTTGCCCCGCTCGGGTCCAACCCTCGCGCGTCACGTGACCCGACTCCCCCGCCTTCTAGCGAGTCGCGAACGGATGACGTCGCCGGGCCGGCGTCGCGTTAGGGCCGGCGGCGGCGGCGGCGGCGGCGATGGCAATGGCAGCGGACCCCTGAGCGGGCTTAAGGGCTCGCACCCGGCTCCCTCCCGCACGACCTCGGGCTCGACCAGGCGTTGCGGCCCCAGCTCGCTCCACTTCTACTCCCTCCCTGTCCGCTGCCTGGGCGGAAGCAAAAGACCGGGCTGGCCACCCTGCTCGGCCCCGGACGGCCTGGCTGCTGTGCCGTGAAGAGGCCGAGTCGGTAAGAGGCGGCGGCGGGGCCTGGAGACCGGCCGGTCCCCGCCTGGCCACCCGGGGCGCCCGCGCTCCGAGGGCTCTGTCCGGCCGCTCACGTCCCGCGTCCCTCCCAGTCACTCGCCGCCCCTATTGTCTGGGCGACGCCGCCCCCTCTCCCTTCTCCTCCCTTCCCCTGCCGGGCGGGACGACTGTCAACCTGGACACGCATTGGCACTTTCGCCGGCTCTGAGTCCCTTCTGTAGCCCAGGCTCACTCCCTATGCGCCGAGGCTTCACGTTCGCTGAGTCTGTGTCTTTGGGGTAAATTTCTCTATCACTTGTCATCTCGAGCAACTTCGACCCTGCTTGCATTTTCTGTCGTTCTTTTTGAACTATTTGTACTCTTATTCTCTTTGCTTTCGGCTCCCTTTTCCTTTTCCCTCTAGAAACTGTCTTAGTTTTTAAAAAGTTCCTGAATTCAGATCCCTCCTCGACCGGTCCCCTCTCCTTAGAAGAAACAAGAAATATTGCTTTCCATTCCTAGATATCTTTGGGGGATAATATCTGCTTCCGTTATCACTTACTATAGGCTATAAATTTGATCCTAGGAAATGTTAGTGTAACTCGTGCGCTTTAATGAGTTCTTGTGAAAATTTGTTAAAAAGGTTAATTAGATATCTAAACATTGTAGTGGCTGTTGCATACGTTCTACACTGACAAGGTGGTTATAGTTTGTTCAATTTCTACATCAAATGTACGTTGCCTGAGCTTTCTGTTACATTTTTAAGGCACTAATCTTTGCTGATGCTGTTAAAAACAAACTAACAAAACTCATTGCTGTCCAGTCAGTTCTGACTCGCAGTGACTATAGGACTGAGTAGAACTGCCCCATAGGGCGTCCAAGTTTGCAGATCTTTGGGAAGCAGACATCCGCATCTTTCTTTGGTGCAGCTCGTGGGCTGGAACTGCTGGCCTTTGGGTCAGCAGCCTTGACTTAATCTATGTGCCATCAGGATTTATAAGAGGAGGATATCTACTCCCCCAACTCCTCCATGAGTATTTAAGCTTGATTTTTTTTTTTTAAACATAGTTTTCTGGCAAGTAGGTGGTGGTGATGTTTTTGCCTTTACTTACCAGATTGTTTCAAAGAGAGGAATTGGCTAATGGAATTTTATGTTTGCTGTTAATGCTTCTATGTCTATTTAGAATTGTGACCAAATCGTTTTTTTTTAATGACCTAATTGTGTATATGTTTTCTCCTTTTGTTTTTTAAAAGCTGTGAGGGAGCATAGTCATAATATTGTTGTTAGGTGCCATGCCACTGAGTCAGTTCCAACCCATAGCCACCCTGTATAGGGTTACTGAGGAGTGCCTGCTGGGCTTGAACCACCAACCTTGCGATTCGAACTGACCTTATGGCCCCACACATTATCCTGCAGCATCACACCAGGACTCCTCTAAAATATTTAATTAAAGGTCACATATATGTGTGTGTGTGATATATATGGTTGTTGAGTGCTATCAAGTTGGTTCTGGTTCATAGCGACCCTTTATAGGATTTCCGAGGTTTTAAATCCTCTCGGGAGCAGAAAGCTTCATCTTTCTCCCACTGAGTGGCTGGCAGGCTTGAACTGTGGCTCTTGTGGGTCCCAGTTCAGTGGTTCTTGTATGGAGCTACTGCACTTATACACACATATATACACATACATCTATATTCATATACACATATATAGGAGCCCTGCTATGGTGCTCTGGGTTAATGTGCTGGACTGCAAGGTTGGTTTGCAAAACAAGCTTGTTCAAGCTCACTAAGTGCTCCTTGGAAACCCTATACAGGGTCACCATGAGTTGGAAACGACTCGATGGTACTTAACAACAAACCTATATATGTGTCTGTGGCGGTGGTGGTATGCTGTTCCAACTCAGTGAACCTGTACAGGGTTTCCGAGACTGTAAATCTTTACGGGAGTAGAAAGTGTCATCTTTCTCCTGAGGAACAGCTGGTAGTTTCAAAATGCTGACTGTGTGATTTATTATAAGCCTGACTTATAACCACTACACTACCAGAGCTCCTTATATGTGTGTGACATATGGAGCTCTGATAGTGTAGTAGTTACATATATGTATATGTTGTTTTTAAGTGCTGTTGGGTCAGTTCCAACCCTTAGTAACCCTGTATAGGATTTCCAAGGAGTGGCTGGTGAGCTTAAACTACCAACTTTGTGATCCAAACCAACCTTGCCGACCAGCACAGTAACCCGCAGCACCACCCGAGGACTCCTCTGTCTCTGAAGAGCTTTAGGGTTACCCTGTGGTTACCTGGGATATGGTTTCTGAGGCACAGGGAGTGGGTTTGAAGCAGTCCAGTTCATATCCTACAGTGCCACACCAGAACTCTGATATTCTGTGTAGACGACCTCAGACTGCATTCTTACTTTTCATGTAATCAGTGGTGACAAGGAGGCTACGTCAGGTAGCTGGATAAGCAGAGTGACTTACACAGGCCAGTGACCAACCCACCCGTGAATGGTTTCTAGGAGCCAGACAGCCGTTTGTAGCTTTCTCTTTGTTTTAACGTTGTAACCACTGTTGCTACGCATGTGAGCATGGTCTGTGTTCAAATAGTATAGTAGAAAATGTGCTCAGATTTCAAAGAAAAGCCGTTTCACTGTTGTTTACTGAATGTGAAATATAAGAAGGAAATTTCGTTTGCAACATTATATGTTAACATAATTGAATCGTTTGATACCAAGATGGGGAGATCATTGGTAATGAAAACTGTTATTTACAAGAGGGATGATTAAGACTCTCCACTGAAAAGAGCACTCGATGGGCTGTTCTGTCTGTTAGGTGCACTCCTTGGTGTCTTTATCTAGTGTTTTGTGTTGTTGTTAATTGCTGTGTTAAGTTGTTTATAACTCAAGGAGTACTTGCTGTGTTTGAACCGCTTACTTTAAAGTTAGCTGTCCAGTGCTTATCCTACAGTGCCACAGCCCTCAGTAAATATTTGTTAAAATTAAATGAACAACTTGATTCATTCAAGAATTTCAGTTAGTCGTGTTCATTAATATTTGATTACTTAAACTTTGAAAGATGTGAAAACATTATCAGCCGTCATTGTGGAGAAACGTCTTGGGTATTTTCAAATTATAGTTTAAAACATTTTAGTCACTGGAAGGTTTTAATGGTCCATGTATTCCTTCTTAAATAATGTTCTTTATCTTTCCTTGGTCCTTTTTCTTAATTCAGCATCAAAGTTTCTCCCAATTTGCACAATACCATGTAGCTAATTATGCAGATATTTCAAAACTGTCAGTTATTTTAATTTGTTGTGTATTATTTTCTGTTAAAATTTGCCGCATCTCTTATACTACCTTGTGCTATAGTCCCTTATCCATTTAATGGCTCGGAATCTAAATGTTGTGTTTGCTTGTGTGCTTGCTTTTCCCTCCAGGCAGTGAAACGAGAATACTAAAGAACAGGACCTCAAGATGAGCAAAAAGCCTCCAAATCGTCCTGGAATCACTTTTGAGATTGGTGCTCGTTTGGAGGCGCTGGACTACTTACAGAAATGGTATGGAAACTAGAGCTCGTGACCTACAGTGCAGTTTCGGGAGCCTTGCATGTGTCGCTTTCACTGCCTGGCAGACACAACATACATGCAGTTTTGTAGTTTTCCTGCTCGTCCACCTGTACCTGTCACTGTAGGTGTGTAAGAACTGAAAATAAGTATCCCGAGTAGGAGAGATTATAGACTTACACTGGAGGTAGAATTGGTTCCAATTCCTAGCTTCCCCAGTTTTGGGTAATTTTGATAGACAACAAAATCTGTGATAGACAAAATCTATCTAAGGTGGCAGTCTGTCAGCGACGGAAAACACAGCTCTTTATTGTCCAGTAATAGAGAGGGACAGAAAATGATCAGCCTGTCCCTGGAAAAGCAAAGCGGGCCTGCCCAGTTCCGGCTCTCACAGGCCTCGCTCTCTATCTCTTTTCTTGACTTATATCCCAGGTGGTCCTACAAACTGTACAGTGTATGAAGGGTTCCTGGTTAGCACAGTAGTGTTTTTGTAGTGTACACTGTTAGACATGCCTTCACTATTCATTGTTGTACCTGAACTCCGAAACCCACCTCCCCTTTCCCAGAGCCAGACCTGTTCATTTACCTCCTCCAGTACTGAATGTGGGCTCTCTGGGAGGCAGGCGGTCCTGTCAGATCTGGACGGTGCTTCTCTCTGGCGCTCTCTGGTCGGTGGAAGTTTATACAATGGTGTCAGACAAATGGTTACCTGGAAGGGACAGGACCTAGTGCTCCATGGGAAGAAGGCCGAGTCTCTGTCCAGGGCATGCGTTCCTCAATCAGGTGAACTGGCTGACCTCATGACTTCTTGGGCCCGCTCTCCAACCTGAGCCCTAGAGGGCCACTGCGGGCCGGCTCTTCTGAGAGTGCTGCTGCCTCAGCTCCTCTGGAACCCACTTACTTTGATGAGGGGCCCGGTGGTTTAGCCACTCCAGGACTTTGTCTGCCAGACCTTTTGCTATTTTCCGTCACTGTAACTGCCTTAAAACCCTAGTTGGCATTTTGTAGATTTGCTTCTGATTGATTTGCACTAAGTCGTTTACCTGCATTGGCTGAGTCAGACAGAGATCTTGTTTAGTCATGATTTTTGACTTAGACGAGCCTGAGATTTCTCTGTCTTCAGCAGCTGCCATTGGAGTTCTGCCCCGGCCTCAGTCTGGGACTGTCCATGGGACAGTTTGAAGCTACAGTCTGAGGGCGGCAGTAGGGTTATTGAACCCTTCGCCCCAAGCTTGAGCTTAGTGGATAATTCCTTCTTAGGGGGAATGGGAGAGTGTGTTCATAGTGTTCTTGGGGAGAAACACCTGGGAATCGGGCTTCTCTTTGGTCTCCCCTGGCTCATGCTGCCCAACTAGTGGGGAGCCAAGATGTGAGTGCTGTGCTCTGTGGTGCTCTGGGCCCTCAGGGTCCTCGGGGGCATCAGCATATGAGACTGATGGGCTCCAGTAGAGTCGAGCCCTCAGCTTTCCCTGTGAGTCAGCTAAGTCAGACGTGATGGAAGCCACCGAAAGCATAAGCACCATTAAACATGCCCATACGCTGGCACCCAGCTTCACTGGACTCCTTGGGGTCATAAGATACAAGCAACTGTTTAACCTGTTACCATCCACCCCGAGCCCCTGAAAGGGATTTGATACCTGCTTTGTGGGTTCCTCTCGGACCTGAGTCAGCCAGCCAGCTCTACATCTTATTGTCTGTCACTTGGAATACTCTCTTCTAGGGTCTGTGTTCTTTTTTTTTTAAATTAGCTCCCTTTCTATTGCAAGAGTTGTTGTTAGGTGCCATCAAGTCAATTCTGAGTGATGGTGACCTGGTATAGGGTTTCCCAGGAGCACCTGGAGGGGTTAAGCTGCTGACCTAGTGGTTTGCAATCTAGTGCTGACCCTAGAGCACCACTCCTGGAGTTCTGTTGTGCGAGACAAACGTGTTGATTCCTAGGACTACAATAGCACAAGGATGGAGGATGGGCAAGGTGATGGTGCTCCAGCTTCTCTTTAGGTCTAGGTTTTGTGTTCTTGCTTCACATGATTTCGGAGACTCTTCACATAAGCCTCTAGCCCTGTGTATGCAGGGATAGAAGGGTTCACATAGCCTCTGGCCCTGTGTGTGCAGGGATAGAGGGTTCCAAGCTGAATGTTCATAGTATTACATTGTCTGTCACTTTGGTTCCTTCTGATGTGAGTGCTCCCTGTCTGGATGACGTTGTTGAAGTAAAGACTATTGAGTGAAAGCGGCTTGCCTTATACTCTCTGCAGGAAACTTCACAACTGAGTCCCATTGTTGTTGTTAGGTGCCGTCGAGTCAATTCCGACTCATCGCAACCCTGTACAGAGTTTCCGAGGTGGGTTTGAACCGCTGTCTTTGTAGTTAGCAGTCCACGGTGATGTTTTGTAGCAGAGGTTGTCCTTTGCACTGATTTATGTTTAGCAACATGCCTGGCCTCTACCCACTAGATGTTAGAAACATCCTTCCTAGTGATGACAATACAAATGGCCCCAGACGTTGCCAGATGCCCAGTGGTGGGCAGAATCGCTTCTAGAGATTGCATTAGACCAACAACAGAAGATGTCGTCTTTGTCAGTAACTGCCTCTTTGGTTCTGATATGACCGAGTGGAGCTTTTCCTTCTGAAGATACACATACACAGTTCCATCTCTGCAAGATAGCGGAGTATGAAATGGGCAGCTGCTTCCTCTTCTGGTGTGAATCTTAAATTCAATTTTCTTCCTCTCTTTTTTTTTTTTTTTCATTACAAGTCTTGTAAATAACTAGTTAATTTATATTAACATATTCTCTTAAGTGACAAAGTTGCTGTAGAAATACCTTCCACTTTTGGGAGTGCACATAGTTTAGATGCTCACAGTGGTTTTCAGGGCGACCACTCCAGTTAGCTTTTATATGAGCCAATCACACCAGAATGACTAGTGTATGCTTTTAGAATAAAGTATTTGGAATTTCAAAGCACAAATTAAACTTATAGCTAAGATTTCATTGTATCCTGCATCTCATCAAGAAATTCCTCAGTGTTTCTGCAGAGTGTTATTCATAACATTCCATTTTTAAAAGGCCAGTCCACATTTCATGTAAATTGATTAATTTTTGCTTGAGTGTCAGGTAAAAGTATAGAAAAGTTACTTGAATGTTTAGGAACAGACAGTCTGTGAGGAGCAAAACTTAATGCCTGACAATATATAGAATTCATTCCCTTCATATTTGTCTCCCTTCTGTCTCCTTTCCTCTTCCATCCTTCTGTATTGAATAGTTCTTCTTGTAGTTTATTCAGTTCAGTTTGCAAAGTTTGAAATCCTAGTTGACATAATTTGAACTCTTTTAGTCATTGGATGAGGAAGGAACTGTACTACTGCAAATATTGGTGGCCTTCTCTAAACTCAAGACGTTGACAATAAGTAGCGTGTCTTTTAGTGAGGGGTGACACACCATAAGTATGTATCTTAGCTCTTGTAAGTCACAGAAGTGGAGTTCCCTCCCAGCCTAATGGGGGGGTGAGGGTGGTGGAACACTTACAAAGCCAGTGTGTTTGCCTTTTCTGTTCGAATGTTCCTATGAAAGGAAAATCATTCTAGTGTGTGCCTTAGGTACAAAGGTTCGAGTCTGAATTTAGTAGGCAGGGTTTAAATGTAGCTAAATCCCACTTTAGTTTGGGAGTTGTTGTTAAAGTGCCATTGAGTTGGTTCCGACTCATGGTGAACCTCTCAGTATTGGGTTTCCTAGGAGCAGCTGATAAGTTTGAACCGCTGACCTTATTTTATCCACAGAAGGGAGTCTCTGTGTCTTTCTTGGAAAAGTACATTCTTGTGGCCTGAGCACATCATATCGTAGACCCTTTCAAATTCAGAGAGCGAGGTCATCCTGGAAAATACCATGTACTCTGTTTTTTTTAATATAGTGTTAATAAATTCATTAACGGTTTGATTATCTACCACAATTACTGAGTATGGGTCTGTAGGCAGCCCTCATCAGTTCAAGCATTTGTTGTTGATACTTGGGTCTCCTCTACAATGACTAATCCTACTCCTATGGAGCCATGTGGGTTGCATTGAGTTTTAAAAACTTCACAGTGCTTTATTTAAAACATTTTTTTAAGCTTTTTCCTCAGCAGTCTATGTAAAGAGTCTCACCTGCTACTGTTTAAAGTTAACCTGGTCACGTATTTTTCATGTTTCCTCTATGGTATACCCTTCCTCCCCAACCTTTGTACATCTAAACGGTAACCGGTAACTACTGAGTGTTTAAGTAGATGCATGGAAAGAGGGAGACTTGAAAGCGACATCCCTGGGGGTCTGCAGACTTCAGTAGGCTGGAGTTTCAGGGCGGTTTTACTTGTTAACATGAGTGACGGGGAGTGGTACAAGGAATGAGCATTAAGACCACAAGCCAGAAAGGATGTTTTTGTGCTCCTAATGAAATCCGCTCATGTTTGTCCACTGAGAGCTTACACAAAGCCCATGCCAACATTAATATCCCTAGTCTTTCTGAATAATGTGTAGTAGGAAAAGTCGAATCAGACTGGTTTTGATGACTGATTTACCTTCTGTTGGAGTGGAATTAAAATAGTCACTGTATAGTAAGTGATTTCATTGTGAAAGCAAAACCTATGAGGTACTGTGATCTGAAGACAGTCTTAACTTGAGCTTGAGAGTCAGCTTGAAACATTCAGATGAGTTATGCTCTTCGACTTCTGCTGGAATGTCATTTTTGTCACTTATTGTTGTTAAGTGCCATTGAGATGGTCCTCACTCATAACGACCCTGTGTAGAGTTTCTGAGAATGGCTGGTGAGTTCAAACTGCGGATCCGTGAGTGTCCTATGTCATCAAGGAGTATTTCTATGTAAATATTTCCTTTCTATTTCTGAAAGAAAGGAAAATGAAAGATAAAAAACTGTAGAAGTGTGCAAATTTCAGAGTTGGACAGAGCAGTATAGATTTTGAATTGTCAAATGCTGTCTCCATACATTTGAATTTTTTTGAGCTGT